GAATTATAACAGGCTGTTGATATGTCTGCTGGGGCACTGCTTGCGAACCTTGAGGCACTGAAACCTACAAATAGAGAACACATTAAGATTTTCTTTCACAGACGATGTTTCTTTCTGCCTCTTCACCATCACCTACTTTATACAAGAATCTTTTAAGAAAGTTCTGCTGCAGTTCTCTAAATCCAGAAGACTAGTGATAACAGTAGTTGAAATAACAGTGCTTTATTAAAAAACCCCAATCTTTTTCCCCCCAAATGGAAATGTTGGTTCCAAGGGACTCCATCAATTAACAAAAGATATTTTCTCCACAATAGAAAGTGGGGTGATGGGGAGGGAAATCTTACAAGCTTTTTCTTCCCCATCCTCTGAATCGCAATTACCACAGCACTTGGCTTTCAACAGAACTAGAACTTGTGCACTTGTAGCAGATTTTCCTCTCACTTCAATTGTGGCACTTTTTTTTTTCCTTTGTTTTTTAGTGTCCCCAAAGTCACCTTCCTACCATTTAAAAAGCTATGTACTTGGAAGACAATATTAAAAAATCATTCAAACACACAGAAGAGTGATTGGAAAGTTATGACCGAATTACCCACCTGATAAGATGGCACTGAAGGGTATGGAACAATCACACCTTGAATTTGATTCCCAACGTTGTTGTGTTGGCCACTGACTAGATTTTGATTCTGAGACTGCTGAACTCCAACTAAACCCTGGTAGTTTTGCTGCTGGTTAGGCAAAACCTGGTAACCTGAAATTATACATTTAAATCATATTTGGAAATAATGAACATATTTTATACACCGTTGCCTATGTGAAAATGTATGTGTAGCATTTTCCAATGGCTTTTTAAATCTGGAAACTTGATACAAGTTGAACCTATCATGCATATAGAAAGAAACCAACATTAAAATTAACAGATTTATTCGTTTGGATCCGGCATGAAATACTATACATACTATTTGCAATGCTGCTTTCACATGCTTGCAGTATTTATTTACACGCTAAGTGAGATACATGCATTAACACCTTGATTTGATAGGTAAAAGCTGAAAGCATTTGAACAAAGCATGCTAGATAATATAAAAAACAATTAATTATCTATTATTATGAACAAGGTACTTCAGAAATTCTAGTTATGTTACATTCTACTAGTACCTCAGGTGCCCTACAGATGAGAGCATCTTGACTATGATTCAAAACTGAGTCACACCTCAAGAAAATTTGCATAAGGGACATGTGCAAATCTTTTTAAAAAGGGCAATTCCTACTGAAATCTGTAATGCTTAAAACAACTTGGAACTGAGAAAAATTTTCCAGGCAAAAGCCATGTTAATATACAGTGGAAAACATTTTACATTCAAAGTTATCGGTGGGGAGGATTTTCATATTCACCCCTCTATAGCACATCTGCAACAATTTATTTTTGGTTAAAATGGTATCCTCCACTGTCTTTCAAAAATGGCCTAAAAAACCCCCAAATCCCCAAAAAACAAAAGTCCAAAAAACCCCAAGCACGAGTGGCAAAGAGGAAATCTGTGTATTTATTAGGTCCAACCTTAACTCCCACTTACTTTTTTTTTTTTTTTAAGCGTATAGTAGATAACTGCTACCATGATCAAAACGCATGCAGAACACAAGTAAAGTTCTTTTTGTCATATTCTAATATACAGGTATGTGCTACTTACCACATCAGCAAAACCCCATAGCTATCAGTGTTTCTGAGACAAAGCCAGTTACTGCTCCAGAACAACAAAACTGGGCTTGTCAAGATGCACTGACAGCAAGATTCTGTATGTAACTTGGACACATTCACGTTCTACTGACCATGACATTCCCCACGCTCCCTACCTTGGTATGGAACTATAATAAAGCAAATATAGCTGCAAAAACTCACATGGATTTTTCTTTAAACAGTATTAAAAAAATTGCATGGCCTATTTTGAAAATTACTAGTCAGTTAACACAAAAGACTTTTTTTTGTAAACAAAACACACCAATGTTCATTGATTACAGACATACAGGGTACAATGAACATCGTGAATTAAGAGTCTCAGCTGGCTGTCTCTACACAAATTGCAACAATGAAGACTAAAAAAGAGTGTTAATATAATCAAATATTGCTTCAGAAAATTAATGGGCAGAAGATTCAGTTTGTTAAAACCAAGAGACCTATTCATTAGAAAGACACAACACACTATAAATATTTTCAGAGTACTGTACAAAACTTCAGAACAATGCACGCTTGAATTAGGATTAGTAATTAGAATTTTTAATAACTCAAGTTTGGACTGTGCACAAAAATCCATCTCATATCTGTAATAAAATGCTTAATTGTACTTTGTTACAAAATGATCTATGGCACCTAAAAAGCAGCAGAATGCGAAGTTGCAGTGTATGACAGATACAATCAATACATCTGCAGCCTAAACCCCTCATTTCCCAGAAATTGCGATGTAGCTGTGCATATTTTTCAGCTTTTTTCTGGCACTTCCAGAGACGGACACGATCAATTTTGCAAGCAGAGAGAACTGGAACAATATAAATTGACTGCCAAGAAGGTTCCCCACAGCGTTCCAAAGAATGCTCTATTTTTAGCTTCACAATTTCACCTCTGCAGAGAGAGTGGTGTGACAGAAATGCAGCACTCAGCAGAAAACCCACACCTGCCATAGCAGAATGTCTCATTACACAGAAATACTCTGAAACAGTAGATAAAAAAAAGAAGCAGGTTTCTTAATATTTACATAATTAATAAGAAATCACTGTTAATATAAGAAAAGTTAACTTACAGAATATAGAAATACATTTTCTGAATAACATGAGCGAAAAACAGTGTTTATTCAAGAACAGAAGAGCAAGTACAATCACTTCGTAACAATCTATGAGCATAGCTTGGTTACAACTGTTGCAACTACATCTATTCTTACAACTCTCTAGTTTCATCACGGGCCTTGTGAAGCAGAAGCTAGCTGAATTTCAGCTGATGTTCCTACAGCAATTGTAGTTCAGAAAAGATTTTTAATCAACCTGTGCTTAGGTCTTGTGGTACCTGGGCCTCATTATCATGGCAATCAGAAATGCCTGTTTCTTAAAGAGAGTTTTCTTCTCCCAACATCTTTTTGGACAACCAAAGCAAGCATTTTTATTAAAAGTGACACCCCCCCCCCCCCCCCCCAAATACTTCACCTAAAACCCCTTTAAAAAGGAAGCCAGGAAGCAGCTGAAAAAGAGACCGGTTCACTGTGAGAAATGTAAACCTCTCAGACAGTGTTACGGCCCCGAATCCAACAGCTCATAATAGTCAGGCCACTCCATAATATTAAACCAAAAGTGGCTTCAGTTGCCATGCTCTCAGCAGCTGTCATCTTTCATCTAAATTTGTGTTTGGAAAGTTATTTCATAGTTAGCAACCACTTTGTAAGACAAATAAAACCCACAGCTTTTACGTAATGCAAGATTTGTTAGTTCTCATTTTTGATCAGACACATTGCTCTATTAGCTAAGTAACATGCTGCCTTTTGTCTCAAAACCAGCCGTGACTAATAAGCATCAACCATTTGGATATAGCTTTGTGTCAACTTCACACAAATATGTAAGGTTTAAAATAAATCTACATGAGAGATAATTTCAAAACACACCATCTCATGAGCAGTTTACAGAATAGAAAACATGACGTGGAATCTTCCATCTCTAGAATGCCGATTCAAATTTGCCTATAAAGCAGTAAATGAGAGGCAGCAATGGCTAGGTAGCAATTTGGAGATTTTGAGTTAAACACTAATTATGCAGTCGCTGGTAAAATACTTCTCTCTACCATTAGTGCTAGTAAACACCAAGTAACCAAACAGGATTGAATGGAATTATTGGCTGGACCACCCCTTTACCACTTAAACATGATCCCTCAATGTCAGGGTTACAGGTACACTATCAAAGCAGTAAAGTAGCTGTCTGCAGAGCTTGCTTATTTTATTTTGTCTAGGACACAGAGGAAGATTTTAGCTGCTGATGCTTTTCACCTTGTCCACATTACAGGCAGTGAAATTCAGTTAACACTTAAAGAACTAAAAACATACACGAAAAACTTATCCTAATAGCAACCGATTCCTCCCTTTGCATCTGGGTGCTGGTGCACCATCACCCCATGCTTTCACATGCCAATGGTTTTGTTTAGCTACATATATACACAGGGCTCTCTCCAATCTAGAGAGTGCGTGCGCTATTCACGTAGGATGTCCCCATAAATGGGGTAGTAACTCCAGCTGAGCCTCACACTTAGTGCTATTAAGTAGTCTAGGTATTTAAAATTCTGAGGAAGGAAAGCAGGTGCTGTAACACAGTTGGATAACACCAATGGATAAAACAAGTTGCAAAAATGAGTAATTTGTTTTTCTTTGAAAAAATGTCAATATACTTCCACTTCTGAAGAATGAGAAGTGGTGATCTATTTTGCAGTAAACAGGTACTAACAATATTTTAAAACGGTCTGACAACCCTACCATAAGTGGGCATCACATCTTGATGATTCTGCAATGAAATAATCCCATGTAAATTTGTCAACTGAACCCTGAATAACAACTTCAACTGTTGCTGCTGTTGGATCACTTCCTAGAAGAACTGCAGAAGAGGAAGCCATCCCTCTAACAGGCTACTTCATAGAACAGCTATAAAGAAATCCAGTTAATATTTGTAAAAGCTGTTCTTTCATCCTATTTCTGTAGAGCAACACAGTCAGAGGTAGGGGGAGGAATTAAAAAACCCTTCTTCCTGGAGGAAACTCAAAAGGACACTAAGTGTAACACGTTTAACTAAGACATGGTAGAACAGCCTGATTTTTAAGGATCTCTGCCTCCAAACATCACTAGTTACTTCTGAAAGTTTTGACTGTGAGTCAAAAATATTACTCAGAAGCAAATTTGTTTCAGAAACGCAAACCTTACCGAAGAAGTCATAATTATATTTTTAAGTATCAGAATAACAGTAGCCACAGTTACAATTTTTTAAGGAAAAAAGACAATAGGAAAGAAAGGAGACAGAAATACAGCTTGATAACATTCACAGAAAGGTAACTCAGAAACAGTTAAAAGTCTTTACCAAAAGCAGAAGAAGAAAACTAATTTTAACCACTGAACTGTATTATGTAGTCTATTCAACACCCAAATACCTTTAACCATAGGACAGAAGGACAAATTAAAACAGTATCACCAGTATCTGAGCATAGTGCTCTTTTCATGCCACAACATCTAAAATTAGTATCTTTTGTTTAGAACTTTTCAGTCAAGGTACATCTCTGAAATGTAACAGCATTTGAAGGTACTAATTCATCTTACTTTGTAAGTTACTAAAAAGTTAGTTACTAAGTTATAAGTTTTTTTAATTATTCAGTTCTAATCTTCAAAAAAAATATTCTCCTATAATTAAAAAGTTACAGCATAAGCCACTCATAGTAGTGGCTCAAATAAGTTTCATGAACAACTGACTCAAATTTGTCCACCTTATGTTAGTCACACTTTGTTTCCCATATTTGAACTTCATTTGAAATTTTACAGCAAAGTTAGTTTAAAAAGCAAACCCAGGGGAAAATGCACACAAGATGTTTTAATGAAGTGCTGAAAGAGTTGAACAAACCTGTCTGCTGTCCAGGCTGTGCCAATGGTTGGTTTTGCTGTGTGTTGTAATGGACAGACACGGGTCGGTACTGTTGACTGGAGTGCGGATACTGATTGGGGGTACAGTAACAAGCTGGCATCTGAAAACAAACAACAATTCATGAGATTCACTACCTGCGAGGTTATAGAAGGCAAACATCTACATGCAAAACCAGTCACATGATGAAGATGCAAAACTTCTTAAAAGGTTCAAGTAATATTTAATAGTTTAGAAATTAAAAAAATACTCCTATTACATAAATTCCCTCTTTAACAGCCGATTTCTTCTACTTTCACTGTAGAAGTAACAATTCCCAACTTCCCCAAAGAAACATCTGAGACCCTAGACAACTATGCAGAACGCGAGTGCTACCAGCTACAGGTAAATAGGAAAACCTGGGTGATTATTGCTCCTCAAGTAAACTGAAAACATTCATTTCAAAGCGCAAAAGCCAGAAAAAAACCCCAACCCCAGAATAAATGCACACAGCTGCAACTGAACAGGGAGCCCCCCCACCATATAAAAAGCTCATTAATAGAAAAGCATGATCATTTTTTAAATACAGCCTTTGGGAGAATGAAACCAGAGCCATTGTACCTGTGCCACAGGTTGCTGCATATATCCCTGCTGCTGCAGTACTTGCTGGTTGACAGGGTGGCTAGATGTCGAGTAGCCTGGAGCAGAAACTGGTTGGCCAGAGGGTGGTGGAGGTGGAGCAGCTGCGATGATATAGCCAGACTGCTGCGGGGGCTGGAGGACTACGGTGGACTGGAACATAGCAGTATGAGGTTCAGCTGCATCAGCAGGTGGCTGGCGGGCAAGGCTCATATGGCTAAATTGTGATCCTAGGTTGTCTTGCTGTAATAGTGGGGGAAAAAAAAGGGAAAAATTACATTCACAAATGCACATTCAAGGAGAAAAGAAGTATCAAATCGACAAATATCTCAGTAAGCGTCAGATATGCGTGTCTCAAATTACTGTGCATTAGCAACATCAGCCAAAGAACAATGGGAAAGAACAAGATGGAACACAGTAGTCAATTATCTTCAGGCCTGACAGCAGGAGAGACCATCCAGAGACTTCACTCATTTCACCGCAAATATTTGATTTTTGCATTACATCTGCTTCTATTTACTTATTGTAAGAATGCAATTGTCAAAAAAAAGTCAGAATTTGTGTCGCTAACATTTTCTGATGGGACTCCAAAACTCGAGTGAAAACATCGAAGCCCAGGTAAAATGGCAGAAGGCGTTACTATTGCTAAAGTAATTTTTGGTTTTAAGAGCTTAAGTTAATGAGGCTCTAATCCTGAATAACAAGGTACATTCCTCTAACTTGGTATTATACTACATGCAAGGATTATTTTTATTTTGCCTGAAATCAAGTAACAGCTGCAAGAAATATATTCTAGTGGCTACCTATTATCTGTATTTTATTAACATCTGAAAGTATGATACTGATTACACTGAGCCCTGCAGGAGTCCTGTGGGATGTGAAACTGTAACCCCAAGCTCCTTCTCGTTACAAGCAATTCATCATCAAATTATCGATACCCTGGAAATTAGAAGTGATCCCTAGTGTTGTGGTTTTTTTGCTAAACAGAAAGATTTGGCTCACACTTCAAAGTGGACTCTCCAAACATGGAGGAACATTAGAAATATTTTAAGACCACCTGATCTTCTCTTAGATCATCCTGAAGAAGATAGGAGCCAATCAACAAAGCGTGAAAGCTCTGTCTTTTACTGATTAGCTATATTCACATTTTATGATGAAATTTTATAGTTCACAGGCTAAAGGTATTCTTAATTACCACTGGAAATATAAATTTGCACTTAAAACTTTATTTAGAATAACTTTGCAACTTAAAAAGCCCTATTTTCATTAGATCAACAATCTAATTTGTCTTTGATGTTTCATTCTTTAATGATGCAACTTTAATGCTTTTCTACATTGGATTTTACATTCTCCTTTTCATAATACCTAGTTTAGAGAAGAGAGACTGATATTTAATTATGAGTTAATATTACCTCTAAAAATGTCCAGAGGATAAACCCAAGCAATACACATTTATTTCTGTTACAGTACCAGTGTGAGTAAATTCTGATTTGGTCAGTTTGTCCTACAGTGGTATGTATAGTACAAGCACGATTAATCACAGAAACATGGTATTACCAATAAACCGGTAAAGCCCACTTTCCTGGTACCAACTACGCATGTGTTGCATTTAGATTATGAGCCAAGACCATCAGTCCTTTCATTCTCTGCTTTAATATCCACATGCCTAACAATGACTGTGAATCATCTGAACTAGCTGCTACTAACAGCAGTTTAGTCATATGCTAAACTCCATACGAAGCTGACATTGGTTGATTAACCATTCTCATTTCATTACTAAGGAGGTACATTATACTGACTGCAGTCCTCACATCCTCAAACTCTAAAATAACATGAGAAACAACATCGCTAATAACAAAACACCCTCCATAAAGTGCAATTCCTTTTAGAACTGTATACCTAAGTACAGATAAGAGTTACAACATAGTTTTAATTATATGCAGGCTACTGAATTCAGATAAATCTGTATCTATTGTTAGAAGACACTTCTGATTAATGTTGAAAATAATAACAAAACAAAAACTCTGAATTCATACTAAAATAGCTGTTGTATAACACAGTGGTGGGTTAACCTTGGCTGGCTCCTAGGTGCCCACCAAGCTGTTCTGCCGCTTCCCCATCCCTGGCAATACAGGGGGGAAAAGATGAAAAGCTCATGGGTCAAAAGGACAGGGAGATCACTCACCGATTACCATCACAGAAAAACAGACCTAACTTGGGGAGGATTAATTTAATTTATTGCCAATTAATAACAGTAACAAAACTAAAAATCAGCTTCCCTCAACCCCCTGCTTCTTCTCAGGCTCAACTTCACTCCCAACTCTTCTACCTCCTCCCCCAAGTGTCACATGCGGGTTGGGAATGGGGGTTGTGATCAGTTCATAACACTTCATCTCTGCTGCTCCTTCCTCCTCACACTCTTGCCCTGCTCCAGCATGGGGTCCCACCCAGGGGATACAGTCCTTCATGAACCTCTTGAATGTGGGTCCTTCCCACGGGCTGCAGTTCTTTACAAACTGCTCCAGCGTGGGTCCCTTCCACAGGGTGCAGTCCTTCAAGACCCCATGGGGTCACAGGCCCTGCCAGCAAACCTGCTCTTGAATGGGCTACTCTCTCTCCAAGGGTGCACAGGTCCTGCCAGCACCCTGCTCCTGCCCTCCACGGGCTGCAGCTTCCTTCAAGGCCTTCTCTACCTGCTCTGGTGTAGGATCCTACACAGGCTGCAGGGTGGATGCCCGCTCCACAATGATCCTCCATGGGCTGTAGGGGGAGAACGTGCTTCACAATGGTCGCCTTCATGGGCTGCAGGGAAATCTCTGCTCCAGCACCTGCAGCACCTCCTCCCTTTCCTCCTTCTGACCTTGGTGTCTGCAGAGTTCTTTCTCACTCCTCTCCTCCACAGCTGCTGCACAGCCTTTTTGACCCTTTCTCAAATACATTATCACAAAGATGCCACCAGTGTCGATGACTGACTCAGCTTTGAGCAGCACAGGGCCAGTCTTGGAGCAGCCTGAAATTGGCTCTGACTGACCTGGGGGCAGCTCCTGGTCTCTTCTCTCAGAAGTCCCCCCTGCCGCACAGCTCCTGCTACCAAAACCTTACCACAGAAACTCAACACAAACATGTATTCATGAGAGTATCAGAGCAGTATGGGGAGTTGGGAAGCCTCAATTTTTCACCTGGACTTGAGTTTGTATTCTGCCTTGGATAACTTCTCCTTTACTAGGTTTCAGTTTCAATTGGTGGGGGGGTGGGTGTGTTTGTTTTGCTTTTTAAACACAAAAGACTAAGATAATTCATTTCCAGCTTCTATTTATTAAACAAGGGATGTTAGTGAAGTTGGAGTGTTAAGACTTCTAGTTAAAAAAGCTAGAAAAAGGTAACCTTAAAAAACCAGAACAGCCGATCCCTCAAAATGTATTTGGGTTCCGCAGAAGAAAGAGCAGACAAAGAAACAACAAGGAAGGATGGAAAGAGGTTAATCCAGAGACATAAAAAGGTACTGACTGGCTAACAAAACAATAGCATTGAAAAGCTGTTCCTTTTCAAAGGGAAATAATATGTATCTAAATATAGAAATATATAGATATAGCCATAATTGTATACATTTCTGCTGAACTTGAAATAAACACGTTAAAATCTCAGGAACTATCTTCCCCCCCCGAGGTAATATTTTACAGTGATTGAAAAGCTAGCCAGTCATTACGCTGGTATCATGCACCACTTACAAACAACCAAGCAAAGGTCAGCATCCACTAAAGATTAACCCATGCAGAGAGGAGATGAACAGAAGATATAATACCACAGGATATTGCTGTGCAGAGGAGACTGGCAGGAGCGGGGGTGGATAAGAGACTGCAGAGTACTGAACAGGCTGGGAGGAAGGCTGCAGAGGCCGCAGAGGCTGAAGGAATAACAGGTTTATAAACATGGTTAACATCAGAGTAAGAGAAGTGAAAACAAAGTCAAAGTCTTTTGTAATAGAAAAACGCAACTATGCTCCAGAAAAAGCAACTATGCTCCATTCCCAGGAAGGGAATGGATACTTCTTTTTTAAGCTCAAGACAGCGTAGAATTAAAACAGAAGTAATTTTCAATTGCTCAGTCTCCCAGCAGAAATACATTTGCTTTATTTGTTAGACATATTAGCTATAAGTCAGCAAATTGCTTCTATTTAACATTTACTGTTTCTTTAAGAGATTTTTTTTTTTTAAAAATTGTAAAATAAAAACTACACATGCATTCTAAATACAAGTTTTTTCAAAGCATCTAAAGACAGAATGAATTTACTGCTAACCACAGATTAAAACATATTACTTTCCCTTATTCAACAATACTAAAATCTTTTCTCTAGATTGTGGTTATTTGAACACCAGAGAGGTATCATTGCTAATAATATTTCGGGCAGGTTCAACTCCAGTATCCATTGAGAAGGCAATCACAGAAGTAGTACAGAATTTGAAGAAAACTGCGAATACCACATACAGGCTTCCATAAACTAGATAGGGAGAAAGAGCACAAATGAGCCTTTTTCAAGACAGACCATCTCTACTGTGGCATACGTGGGTATCCCAAACAGAAGATTTAAACAGGGAAAATGAATCAAGATAAAGGTTTAGATGAAGTGCTATAAATAACTTTATGATAAAATTTGCAAACAATTTGAAAATACCACAGGAGACTACAGCCAGTAGCTTGGTACCCGAAATAGCTGCTGTGAAAAGGGGCAGAACCTTCCCTTCTCCTGCCCATATGCACTCTGTTGGGTTTTTTTTCTTCCTTCCAAGGGCTGAGGTCATCTTTAATTGGCCTATTTTACTAAATTCCTCTTGTACAAGATGAGGATAAAATATATCCTGTATTTCAGCATGCAGTTTTGTAAGTAGAGTAAGCCAAAGCGCTACTAAAGAGGTGCTCATACTCTACCACTCCCAAGCTACTTCTGTGCCATGAGTAGTACTTGTGCAGTACAGCCCAAGAATTCACCTGGCTGAAAAATAACCTTAAGACAAGGAGAAAAAGATTGCAGTTGGATTAACTCTCTTCCCAGATTGCTGACTGTGTTACTGCTAATGCCAGGGGTAACCACACAGTGGGACTAAGGACGAAGGCAGAGCCTCTTTTCCAGAGCAACCTAGGCTTGGTATGTTCTTGATACCGTAACATTTTCATACTAAAATATCTTCTATATTTTTAAGAAAAGGCTGCCTACCACCTTCAGTTATTAGCAGAACTGATAGTGCTGAGGACTGTGGGGGAAAAAGCCCAGTTACCAGTACCTGTGTAGCTATTACTTCTTAACCTATGCTTCAGCAGAACCAACCTACCGATCCCGTGTTATCAGACAGCAATATGACAGTATCAGTCATCAATACAAGCATCATGTGTTTGACATGTGCACCTGTGAGAGGATGTGATTAGCTGCTGGCTGTTGCTGAGGTGGTGCGGGAAGAGGTGGCTGTTGCGGAGGTCCAGGCACTTGGGTCCTAACAGGTTGCTGAGGCATAGGAGGATTGTACACAACTGGAGTGCCATCGGGGTTGAGGAATGGCTGACCTGAAGAGTTGAAAGAGAACAAAGACAACCAAATGACAGCCAGCTGCATCATCTAAGTTTGGAGAAAAGACAGACAAATGTATTTACAGTAGGCAAAACAAATAAAATAATAAAATTTGAAAATAAGTGAAGTCATACTGTTTTATATGACAGATTGATGCCAAATCCCCACAGCAACATTTATAACACAATGACTAAACAGGCCTCGTTTGACAAACTACATGCAGTTAAAAACCAAAACATTTAAGGTAAACAAAGATAACACAGTCTTTACTTAGTGCACACAGATAAATGTTTGCTGCATCCTGCTTGTCTTAAACTCATTTTTAATTAAGTGGATTGAAAAGGGCAGGAGTAATTAAAGGAAAACCCCACTAAAACTACTATTTCAAGGACCTTTTAAACGGCCATTAAATTAATCTTCTTTAATCAGTTTGAACATCAATCAGAACACAGGAGAGCTTAAAGGCAAATATTTTAAAAACATATATATAAAGCAGTAGCTGCAGTGGTATTCCCATAACTGCTAATGAGATTACTGTTAAAGGACTCTCTTCCCCTATTCATAGGTGAATTGGCTTTTAGCTTTCAAATTAAAAAATTTAGTGTTATTCTCCTATTTAATAATTTGCAACCTCAGAATTACAGCAGTGGACTAATGAAAAAGAATTAAAAAATAAATCACTGCTTGTTTATAATTTACTTTTAAGTAGTTTATTTTGGTGCCCAGGTTGAAGAAAAACAAAACAAATCAAAGGAACAACAGATCAGCTAGCAAGGACTTGTGCCTAGCTGCTTAATGACATGTGTCTTGTTTTGGCTTATTTTGATGCATAACCTCCAAATACTGATGTAAATTTTTCTCTCCTCCAATATAAATATTTTCTTGTCCGAGATTCTTTCCAGGGAGGTATAAACTGAGACCAAAGCCTTTGCACCCTAACCAGGGTCCTGTCAAAGTAGGCTAATGCTCCTTCAGACTTCGTCCCATCATATTTAAATGCAACTGGCCAACATAAAAGCGTCAAAGTCACTGAAGAGAGGACTTAGGCAATTAATGCACGACAGACAGAAAGCATGAACAGACTGGCAAAAATAAGCTTCATATTATGCAGCTGGACTGCAGGTGATCAAGCTATATTCAATTTAGCTTAACGGATTTCTCTTTAATGCTCAGGAATTGGGAATGTTCACATTAACATAGAATCAGATTTTCTTATTTCCTTTTACTACTTTCTGGTAGTCACAGGAGCTTAACTTGTTTCCTGTAGTGGCTGAATAAGAACTGTCTTTTCCTAATTACCCTCTTCGGCTACTGAGAAGACTGACTCTGTTGACATAAGGTCACGAGATCCTCTGTCAGAAATGCTAAGAAACTAATTTATTTTTTTTTAACCCTTGACTATCATTTGGAATAATAAAGCCAGATGAACAATTGCAGAATATAATAATTCAAGTACACTGTATGTTGAAAGTTTATCTGAACCTAGATAGTCCTTGTTCTGGAAGTGTACTTTATCTTCTATTAGACACTCATTAGATACTAATATAATACTGTTATGAAAGACTATTAATGACTAGTTTAAATACATTAAAATGGATAAAACATAGGAAGAATCACAATTTGAAAATGAAGCTAGTTTTAATGAATATCAGAGTCAAGTCTACAGTTCTGCTGCCTTTTCCGAGGGGGGTGCAAGTACAAGATGCTTTCAGATGAAAAACTTTGACAATCACATTTGTTTCTCTGCCCTTCCCTGTTGCTATGTGGAAGTCCCATCAACGTAACAGGGGAAAATGACCAACAGTACAGGAGGAAGAAAGTGAAACTAATCACATGCAAAATATTGACAAGCATGTAACTGAAATGAAGGTGACTCAAAACCCGCTATTTTTTTGAATGACAAAACTGTACCATGTTTTACATGAAATCACTTCCAAGCTGATGGTATCCTTTCAGTGCCTGCAATATCTGTTTTGCTGTACAGTAACTCTAAATATTTTTAGCATGGTCACGCTATAAACTCATAATATGAAAGATGACAGCCAACATTCTTCACGTTTAGTGTCAAGTACAAAGTACTCTAGTGTACATAAACACTAAACCCGCTTATTTTGCTAGCAAAACTTGTTCACTAATCATATTTGTCTTCAGATGGTCAAACACAATGGAAAACTCATGTATAAGATGTACAACTATCACATTAGAACTAGAAAAACTAAGTCAATAGTGCTGTTGTCCAGAACCTAGATCCAAGATGGGAGAAACATCCTCCTCCAAATCCAGTGGCTATCTAGGAAAATTAAGATGCTCCAACTAGTCATTTGTAACCAATTTTTTAGCAGGGTTGGCTTAAACTCTTTATACAACAAGGCATTTAAGAGAAACCTTAGGCAGCATATCAATATGTAGAATCATTAATAAAAAAAATAATTCAAATTTTGTCTGCAACAGCAATTGATTTATATTAAGGAAAAGGAAAAAATTATCTACTTCTATGTTAAACCTTTTCATTATAGAAGAGAAATAATTTAATAACGTATCATTTTAACAATGCCCTGGAGAAAAATTTAGTTTAAAACATCACATGCAGTTATATTCAATCATATTGAAGTCCATCTACAGAATGATGGGAAATATATCCTGAAGTATTTTCTGTTCTACAAGGCAAACAAATCTTTAATCTAAAATTAAAATATAATAAATTTCCAAAGATTACAATGTGTTATATAAAAGGTAAATTAAAATTTTCAGGATTTCTTGACTTCCACAGTAAAGTAGAAGTTTGCCCAGGGAGTGATAACTAGTCATTTAATCCAGACAAGTAGTGACACACCTCCTTGCAACTACATTATAAAGTATCAATTTCCTACTACTCACTAAAATGATCGGCATTGGGCAATTACGGCAACATTGGTTTAATCCTGTTTAAAACTGACAAGCAGAAGTTTAGAAATAGCATGTAATGTCATGCTTATTTCTTTCACTTGTATTAAGTCAGTGTCATGAGCAGAGACACAAAAACATGTCGCGAAAAACAAAATGAAGGATGATAAATTCTTTCAAGTCCATATGAATACTTCTTCAGGCTCTCTCCCCTCTCACTGAAACTGCTTTATAGTAGCACTGGGAAAGACTTTTCCTCTCCCAAAAAAGGCCAAAACAATTTAAATTGTTCTGCTTTCTGGACAATAAATCATAGAATTTTCATATTTTGTGCAAGTCGCTCTATAAAATTTTACATGCAAGTTAAAATTCTACTAGAGAAAATCAAGTGAGTTTACTTATTCCTTTGATCCTAGAGTCATGCTTTCTTTTCAAGTTAAGTGCACTGAACAAACACAACCACAGGAAAAAAAAAAAAAGAGCAAAAGAAAGGACAATACTGACAGTCAGTTTTATGTAAACACTCGTGCATTTTTGTCCAAGTTCTCAATTGTAACAAAAACATCCACAAGCATGTACCAACCTGTTTGCGGGTTGATCAGAATACTGCCAGGCGGTATGCCTGCCGCTTCCAAGGGAAGCAAAAAGAAGCTAGTGCTAGTAGGTGCCGCTTGCCCGCTTATGCCACCATCAAAGGAAAGAGAGTTACTAGTGCTGACAGTTGGATAGACGGCAGGCGTGCCATGAGAAGGCTGGCTTAGAGCTGGCACTGGAAGAGGCTGCTGGGTGTGAGAAAGAGAACCCGTGGATGACCCTACACTACTAGAAGACTCTGAACCTAGGAAAGGAGTAATGAGAAATCGTTTTTACCTAGAGACAGAAACATCATGCTCACTTAAAATATACACTTGTAAATGCTTACCCTTAAAGCTCAGCGTTAAGTACATTATTAAACAGTGGCCTTTTCAATGAACTCCCCCTTCATCTCCCCTGGAATACCATTACAAGATTCCTTCTGTGAACCAAGGGCCAATTCAGCACTGCTTTGCACTGTAAAGTGAGGCTTTCATATCTAGCTCTGGTTTTCTGGACAGAAAATACATGCCTGTACATATGCATGTGTGCTAATGTTCAGTTCATCCGCAATTCATTTACGTGATTGGTCGCTTATTCCAAAATGATGCACGTGCATCTATCGGTTAGATACACTGAAGCGATGAACACGCAGCTCACAACTATAGCACATGTGCAGGCCATGGGGTAATGCAGACGCACTGGGGCCAATGTCCCTTCAGATACGCTAGCTAAATTCACATGCTCGGTAGATGCAGCCTGCATACAAGCAATGACCATGTTCTTTTTACTTAGGTGTCAGAGGATCTTCTGATTCACCTGCTGGACAAATTGCAGAATACTAAAAACCCCAAACTACTTCTTTTCCCCTCCCTCTGACAGTTTTCAGACTGAAATCAAGAATACAGCTGGGAAAAAAAAATAATATGGTCGCTTTAGCCTAGTTTTATGCAGCAATTCAAAGTTCAAAAGGAGTACGAAAGAGCTTATTGAAAGCAATAATCATTTTACAGATATGAATGACTATAAACATTGCAAGGCAGTGGAGAATCAGACCCTGAGCTTTCTCAAAGCCAATGCATGCAGCTAAAAGCAATATTCCAAAAGTCCAACATGGAGAGGTCTGTAGATCTGCACTCTTCCTAGATCGCTGTATACCCAGATTTCTGGGTATACAGTTTATCATACTTCTTATGAAGTCCTTGCTATGATACTTGCAGTACTTGGAAACAGAATATAGTTTAAATTTAAGAACTCCTCATTAGCAGCCTCTATACAATCTAGAAGAGAAAGTAAGACTTATAAAGGGCTGTGACGAAATTTATCTACTGTTGGAAGTTACTTTGCAGTCCTTCATAAAAATTTCCAATTGTAACCCTTTTACTTGTGTGTATGAAAAGACAGTATAGCTTGAAGCACTTGCTGATGCTGAATGTTAACCTTTTGTCTGTTGCTAGATGAAGCAAAATACAAAGCTATTAATTGTAAACTGGGCAAAAAACCCATACCCCAGCTCTATAAAACAATCCTCACCTGACCTGTTACTTTGATTAGATCTGCTTACAAGTGTATCCACTTCTAGATTATGTAGAGAAAATAGGCTGAAGCCATCATAATTAAAGCCAATTACATCCTTGATCAAAATGAACAAATAAAACCAATCTCAGCACATGCAAAAATCACCACAACCTGTAACTGCAGTGAAGCAACAAACATCAAAGATAGACATTCTGAACTTTGAATGTTAACTCTCTAAATGCCAAAATAAAGTTTCTAGTGAAATTTTAAGAATCCATTTATGTTCTTGCAATTTTGAAAACAAAGATTTCTAAGAATGTATTTTATATATACACACTATTGTCAAGTTGTAGTTTCCATTCAAGCTGTGCCAAATAGTATCAATTTTGCAGCATGTGCAGAAGTACCTTGGAATGTATTTTTTTAATACAAATATACAATAGGCAAACAGAATTTCTGTTTTACTGCATTAACATACAGAAGTGTGGCGATTTACCTATAAGGTAGTGGTGGTTTAACAGAAAGCAAAAAATTTAAACAGATCCTCATTAGAGACAAGTTTTATAAGTAAGATCAAAGCCAAGCATAATACAGGCAAGCAATAATATTTTGCTTTTTTACAGTTCTCCTTCAACTTCTAAAGCAGTGCATCCATAACCCACCCCAGTATTACAAACCTCAATCTTCCACAACCTACTGGATCAAATTATGTTGGCATTTGGTATACAAATATTTGCTACATTTCATTTTTGACCCACAGAAGATTTACATCCCTATTTTCTGAGATTTTGGTTTTGACATTAATTACAAGTTAATACACCTTTGAAACCCAGAAACTTATAAAATGAGTATTTTCCCCCACCATTTCTGAATCTTAAAATTAAACAGTACCCTTTGTTCCACTGATCTGATTTTCCAGCAATCTAAAAATTAAGTAAGCGTTTTTGCCATCTTCATTTAAATTTAACAATGGCACTGAAAACTACCACAACAAACATAACTAACAATGCATAGGCTTCAATGCTGTTTTTTCCTAGCGAGTAGGACAGCAGTACAGTTTCCTAAACACCACACAATGCAGCTTTGCCGCACTGAAACTAGAGGGTTGAACTCCACTCTTTTTTTTTTTTGTGTACAGTACTTCGGTTGATAAATGTTTTCAAATCCTTTGTATGAGATGAAATGCGTTTAGCTTAAAGCCATCTATAATGCACTTTAAAAGTCTACTTCCACAGTCAAAAGCCTTCATTTAATTTGTTACCTGAATTCTACCTCTCCAAGGCAGCTATGCAGTACAGGGCTAGGTCTGTAGTCATTCTATGTATGCAGCACCCACTGCATCCAGAGGGGGTTGTATGCATGGAGCACCTACGAGACCGAGGCCTCTACATACGTACACATCTGCAATACGCATCAAGTATCAAACCATCAGGCACGTCACTGCTACGTTAACTATGTATTCGTACAGATTTTATTATACCTGTCTTAGACAGCCTGCCTGTGCTTTTGCTGCTTCCAGAGCTATCTCCTCTTGTCAGAACTGATATCCCACTGAAGCTGCTGGCTTTCGTTACAGCTGGCTTCAGATTGCGGATGGAGCTATCAGAGTCGGTGCTGCTCCAGGGACGGGGTTCACAATACTTCAGCTCATTCTCAGTACTGCTCTGATGGCTGTTGGCTGATCTCCCTGATGTTTCCTTATTGATTCTGTAAGTTATAAACTAAACTTTTAGCACAAGCATCAATTGCAAAATAAGGGAAAAGAAAAAAAAAAGAAAAAAAAAAAGAAAGAAAAGGTGAAATGCATGCAGAATACTTTGGGGTTTTATTTTTGTTTTTTTAAAGAAAGCATCAAATACCTAAGTATCTGTCGTCTTTGTTGTGTACTATTAGTTTCTTCCTCCTGGATTCTGTTGACATTTTAATAAGATAGCTTAATATTTATTAAGAAAATAGGAAAATGAAACAGAATTAAACTGCAAATTTTCTTACCTTTTATCAGTGAAATAATTCTCTTGGGAACACAGGGACTGAGGGGCAAAGAAGTGTAGAAATTAATATGAATGGCATCTAGAACCCCTACTACAGCGTAGTAACAAAACATGCTGCAATTTGGAATCTTTTGTATTCTACAGGGACTTTTACAGCATTCTCGTTATATTAAGCTGTCTGAAAACTTAACCTCTTTGGTGGATAATTTCCATGTAATGGGAAAAAAAAGACAATATAAAAAGGCCCACCTGCAGGAAATAAAAGTTAGCATTAGAATAGTTACACTGCTGACCATTTTGTTTATATTAGCATTTTTCTGAAGTTACAATTCTTCCAGTGGGCCTTTGCTGCCTTAGGTAACTTCCAGCTGACGTGTGACTTCACAAATCTGTTACCACCACCTGAGTTCCCTTCTCTTCTGCTGAAAGCGTGAAGTAGAAGATGACGTTGGCTACTGCAATAATTGTACTGAATTCTTTGGGGTACAAGTACGCATATGCTAAAAAGCAGACAGAATATACAATCAAAAAGGCTATTATTAACTTCAATTGTGTTGTCCTTCACTGTGACTCCTAACATTTGGTCCAAAGCTTTGAAGGGTACAATACATGGTAAATGAGTATGCAAAAGGAAAAGGTAATTTTATATCCAGAAATCCATTCTTTTTGTTCGTAACTGAGGTGATGATAAAAAAAAAAAAAAAAAAAGGCTTTTGAAAAACATTAGGATATAACAAATTAGCCTCTTGGAGCTCATTACTCTTTCTCCAAAACAAGAATCTGGTTTTGGATGTGTAAGAGCTACAGATAAATGTCAAAAGTAGATTATTAGAAGTAACGCCTATTTTTGAAGATACATTTGTTCTGTTTCACTTAATATAATTTAATATTATCAGTAATTGTGATTGAATTACAGTTTACAATGTCATGCTTGATAACTCCAGTCAAAAGAGACCAGACTTCTACATTTCTGACTGAAATTTCACATACAGGTATTCAAATCATTTTACCGTGACTAGTCATAAGATGTGTTTGATATAGACACAAGTGAGAAAAACCCCAACATTTTGGTTTGGGGTTTTATTTGTTTGTTTTTTAAAATAATTATTGCTCTGAGTAACAACTGAAATGATTGCAGTACCAAAACTCTATAATTTAAATTTCAGTAAGGGGCAAAATAAAGCAAAATAGGTAATGATAGATGCTTGAAGGTTGGTTTAGTTTCATGCAGTAGTGGTTATAGAAACCAGAAAATTTCTCATTAACTTCGATATAATTTAAAACTCATTCAGGCCACACTAATGATTCTTATCTGCTCATTCCCCTTCCGACACAGAAAGTTTCCTGGAAAAAAAAAGTCTCTTTTAACAGAAACCACATGTGCATGTCTGTGTGTGAAGTATTCATACAAAACACCATAAGATTTTCTTTGATACATACATCTTGTGCAAATATTCTTTCTCTAGCTCTCTGATATTCTTCTTCACGTTCTTCTATGGATTTGCTTCTTCTGTCATCTTTTAATCGTATTCTCATCTAAATTAAGTGATACAGTGTCAACTTCTTCAGGAAAATAGTATAAACACACAGTCAAATACAGCAAGTGGAAGGAAATAATCCATATGTATTTACCTGGTTGTCATCTTTGTCTAAACTAGAGTTATCTCTTTTAAGGATATACCGCTTCTGGAAATCATCACTCTTCTCATCCTTTATATGCTCACAAAACTTTTGGTCAGGTCTATGAAAAGTTGTTAGAAAGAAAAAATTTATGGTTTTGTAAACATATACTATACACAGTGGAACAAACTGGAATATACTCAAAGTCAGTGTTAAATATAGTTAATACTCTAACTGAAGTGATAGATTATGGTTGTCCAGGCAATGGAAAAGCTACCAAAACCGTAAGATGATGTTTATCCTGAAAAGTCCTGTTCCTGAGGCATAACAAACCTGCTTTTAAAATCTCTTCCTCCTTCAAAGATTTTGCTTCAATTTCCAATAAAGGTGGCAAGCAAACCACATGCCCTTGGGGAATCAGAGGTGCTCCTGACTCCAGACTGGTGCCATGCAATGGACACTGGGCATGCATGGAAGTGAAGATAGGTGCTTTCTGCTAGAGCTGCAATACCTCAGAATTCATTTCAAGGGAAAAACAGAAGATAAGAAGATAGAGGAGAAAGCATTGAAACATACAGACTTCTAAAACAAAATTAAGTAGAAATAAGCAAGAGAAAAAACAGTCCAATGCAGGCAAGAGCTTCACAAGATCACACTGAGAGGATGAAGCAACAGATTATATATATTACTTTGGTGTTTTATCTACTTTGTGAAAGAAAATGAGATATTTTGCAAACTCTTGTTATTATTAAAAATAGATACCAAGTACCTAGGCAATAAAACTACTGCTATTGTTAAGAGAAGTTCTCACACAATTAATATGTGTCTAATAAAAGATAAAATATAGGTATACTCTTCTCTCTACTTCTGTTTCTTTATTCATTACCCAGGACATCAGTATAGAGTCAGGAGATCTTTTCCTATAAAACAGCCAAGCCTAACTATTAGTTACTGGATGCCCAGACATAATTAGCAGGCATTTCAGAGAACCTTTAGACTGTCTTACCTCTTTCTTTTAAAGGTCCCTGAATTTACTGCCCTGCAATCACCAACTTCCCACTCCACTGAGACGTCCCAGTATGCACTGGGTTGTTCATGTCAGTAACATCACTGATCGGCGATGGAGCCGGGAATCTGCCTATGAGGAAAAGGTAAGTTTGATTTTATTCAACATGGAGCAGATCTCCAAGGTTTTCTTTCTAAATTCTTATTTTATATCCAAAGCGATTTAAAATAAGAATACTGAAAACACTAAGAATCTTGATGTCTGCAGGTTAGATGAAATGCCTGCTAATTAGTAACTACACCTATAGGGGGCTTCCAGAGGCCATAAGCTATTTAAATACAGGCTAGGAAAAAAAAAAGCATAAAACTGAAGAAATCATCTTTTAATAGTTCTTATTCCACACTTGAAGCGCTAGACTGAAGCTTCAGGCTAGAGATGCTGGTAGATGCAAAGGCAACAGATTTGAAATGTATAGCTTTGCAAGTCAAATTAGATAGAGAATGTATAGCCAAAGCAAAACCACATACATGAATACATAAGTTACTTAACATATATTTAGGCTCTCTCTGTTCTTCTAGAAACTTTTGAGGAGGCAACTTAAGTGAAATTTCAGTGTGGTGTATTATTTCAGTTTTACTGACTCTAAAATTAGGGTGGATAATTAGGGGTTTTTTTGTCCCAAAGCTATGCAGAGTGTACCCAGAGACTGGGATTAGGATGCAGGAGATGTAAATTCCTATTTTCATGTTCACATCCTAGAGAACTTAAAAAACCAAAACCAACAACAAACCACAACCAAAACCAACAACCACCAACAAAAAAAGGTGTCAGGTATATGCTTTAAGTTAAAACTAGAAACTAGGTGGCATAAATATACCAACACGTTAGTCCTTCGTCTTTCTGAGGGAGAATGAGGAGACAGAGCAAGTGCGGAGGACAATGTGAACAGCTGGGTCCTTTGAATGAGGTGGTCAGCCACACACGGGTTTTGGAGCTGCTGTGGCCTCAGGGCTACTTTTTTTTGCAATATGGATTTGCTTAGTGGTTTCTCCAAGAACTCCACTACGCAGTAAAGTAGCATGCCGTGACTTGTTAACCTGGTTGACATTTCCACTGATGAGATCTCTGTCTTCCCTGCTACGTTTATTTTGTAAGGCCATGTGAGACCCGTAAGCAACATCATTCCAATAGAAGGCTCCAATGCCTGAATACTCCCAGCAGATTTTTACAGTACAAAAGCCAAAGTTGTGCAAGTCTTGTCCCCTCCCTTCACCAAATCAGAAATCACCCTGTTCTAAGTTTAAAGCTGGTTCTGCATTCCAAAAGAAACAAAGAATGTACTTTGTACACTTTACTGGTGTAAATCTTTAAACAGGCGAATAGTTGATATGAATTCGTATTTCGTGAAAACAAAGTTAGCAATGCATCTCTGTGAGAAAAACAACAAAAATTTTTAATTTACAGATAACATCCTTTTTTCCCAAAAAAAAAGTTTAAATGTGAAACAGGTCACGTTGTTACACAGCACTGAAACACGAGCAGTACAGATCTTCAACTACCTCTCCTTGACGCATGGTTCCCAATGAGTAGATAGACCCCCACTGCTACAGATGCAGCATCATTGCATAATATATCCTGGGTGTTAAATCTATGCATCAAAATGTTTTTTCAAGACTTTTACACTTACATTCTTGTATTGCTAGTTTTATTTACTATGACTGCCTTCCCACTCTGGTCCACGTTGTGCTCTAATCCAAAGTAAGCAGCTACCCTGTGCAACAGCATTCTATGGTAAGATGTCATTGGGGGAAACTTTTTTCTTGGAGCTCTGGAAGAAAGGAATAGTAGCTTTATTAAATAAATAGGAGCACTCTTCAATTCTTTTTTTCCTATAAGAGTACAGTACTTACTCATTATTACCAATGAAATCTAAAATTTCCTGTTCTAATTTCAGCAGCGTCATTCTGTCCCTGAAAATAAAAACACAGCAACTCACATATGAGACACTCCAATAACTGCAGCTGTATTCATCTTAAGAATACACAGATAAGATCTGTGGTCAAGGAATAGTGGCAGACTGTAAATAGGACCAGGAGGTGTCAAATGCAGGTTTTTTTAGGGCAAAGTATTCATTTTTCACTACAATATATTTTATTTAATCTGCCCAGTGAAACACGTGGTTCTCATCTCAGTATCAGATTACAAAGATCCTCCAAGTAATCTCTGCCCAGTAGGCTCAACAGAAAGTACAGTCATTGAGAAGACAGCCTCAAGAAGAAAGAAATGTAGTGACTAAGTTGTTAGCACGGGTAGTAAGACTTGCAGGGGCCTGAACCGGCGCCTTGGATTGTGAAGCACATCATGGGATCATTGAGACAGAGTGAGGGAGTACTGGTAACAGAAGGCACTACTACAGCATACCAACAACCAAGTGGTTAAAAGCTGGCATGCTTTGCAATGTGCTGAGATAGTAAGAGAAGATGAAAAAGCTAAAACTCAATGTGATGGAAAGGAACATTGGCTGAAACACCATAAACCAGAAGTCTTAAAAATGCTTATGCGAGTTCCCATAAGTCATTAATATGTACTGAAATTAATTGTCCCACAGTTCATAATTTGTGCACATCAGGTAACTCAGCTTCCCAGTTATTGCACGTGTAAACCCACAGCAGACCTTCACCTACAATTTCTTACTTTCATTGGGATGCTTTGTGACTTCAAACAGAAACAAAGTAAGAGTCTAGCAGGGATCTGTGCTTTCTAATTTTACTCTATAGGACAAAATGGTGTTGCACCCTTATTATAGCTCATTTTACATTTGTTTCCCAATAAAATGGGAAATACATGATCACATTGAAAATCATAACGATAAAATGGAATCCCAATACATGATCACATTGAAAATCATAACTATAGTATTAATGAATAACAAATAGCAGTGGAATAGCTTTTGCGACAGCAGCACAATTCCACCAAGTGGATTTCTCGCCCTGTACATACAGCCACGTACCTACTGTGATACCCCGTGGAGGAAAAGAACAAACAAGACAGACAGCAATGTACCGCAAACTTCAAAGCAACAGAATCATGTCAGCTCTGTTGCTAACAAATGATGGACGTGAATTACATCAGACGTGATTTCTGATGCGCAGAGTGAAGATGTATATGTCTTAACTATGGTCATATGGTACAGCTTAAAAAAAAGTTCCTTTGCCTATAAATTCAGGGGAAGACAGATTAAAGTAAGAGAAAGCAGTTTAGTCTCTAAGAAGCAGACACTAAAAGAGTACAAGTTTGAGAGACATAGTATGAGTGTCCCTTCAGAGACAGAACTGCACAGACAGAACTCATTATTTGCTTATGAAACATTAAAGCTCTTAAACCATTTCAGTATCCTGAACCTTTGTTCATATAACACGCAAATTACAGTGGATTGGTGCTTCAAATGGCCTGTGCATCATAACCTCGTCCTAAATAACTGACATACAGTGTTAGACATGTAAAGGACACATACAAAAAACAGGTTGTGTTACACTTCAGACACTGACAAGAAAGAAAACCAGAAAGTTGACATTACGGATGCTTACCTGGGATTGTTTTTTAATGTATTTACTAAAAATTCGTGAAGATCTATACCAGTGGAATCTGTGTATTCTTGGCTGGAATCTAAGGGTGGGGGGAAGAGAGCAAAATTACACTTTGGAAAAACATTAATACTATTTTTTTTTTTAAACTATTGCTGAACATTGTATTTATGGATCAATACTATATAATTATTAGGCATGTTATACCCAAAAATAAACACTTCCAGATTCCAGGGAAAAGGCTCACAAGTAAAAAAAAAAAAAAAAAAAACACCAACAAAAAAAACCCCAAACCAAACCAAAAACCAGAAAACCCAACACTGCCTCCCCCATTTCCCCTAATTCAAGTGTAATACAGAAGCAAAAGCTTCAGCAACACTGCCAGTTTATTAGCAAATTGCTATATATTTTGAAGCAGTGTATCACCTTGAGTCACCCGATTTCTCAACATACTACATTGCACTGTTGTATACACTTCTGTGGACCAGCAGCTGACCTACAGAATTACTGGACGTTGCCCAAAGAAATACTGTCATTCAGAATGTAGCAGTTTAACCTTCACAAATGTTATTTTGTATTATTAAAAGCCCTTGTTCTGTTGGACTTTCTTTTCGCAACATAATGTTTAGAAGTTTTCAAAAAGAAGTCTCACAACCTTCTGCCTCCTTTCTGGTTTCAGTGAACCAAAGTATTCAAAGTTACATTTTGTTCTCTAAAAGCTGTCTCTGGAAGAAATTATTTAACACCAAATCTTCCCTTAAATGAGCACCTTTCAAAGCTCTAAGTCTTCGGAGTAAAAGCTAGAGGTGTTTTAACAATATTTTTGTAACTCGATTTCTTCCAAGAACTACTTGTGTGCCAACCCAGTCTCAAGTTAGGCACAGCTCACACTTACGCCTACGTCTGAGCGGTTCCAGGTCTTGTTGTGGTCAGTATGGAGAGCAGTCATTGCAAGTTAGATTCTGTTAGCAATGCGGGGACTACTGCACTAAGAAGGGTAGGATTCGGCAGAGACAGAATCCGTGCAGTGTTTTTCACGAGAAGCATCAGTGCCAGCAGAGCGGCCTCTTGGCACAGTGGGAAACTGGGTGGCGAAAGTGTCCAGTCTTCAAAAACGGACCTAAATTTTTCCTGGAGAGACTCCAAGTCCACCTGAGGACAGGGAATCTCTAGTTCCCTAATGAAGAATGACAGCGAGTTCCTTTACCTGCGGAGTTCATTATACTACCAGTTGCGCCCATATATTATCAAGGTAGTATAAATGAAACCAAGCAAATGAGCATTCATGGTTTGGGATTGCTGTTGAATCTGAGGAAGGCAAGGAGAAAAACCAAACCCCAAAACAAAACGGTACACCCGGTAAAACAACTGTAAGATTGAGTAATTATTTACTTTCATTTTCTTAATTTGCAAGTAAGCAATAATTTAGTTATAATCACTAGAAGACTGAGGCTTAAATTCCATCATTTTCTATTTTGGCACATCCTAAATTGGGAAGTAATTAACTTCCAGAGGAGGCATTGGGTGAATTTAAAACAGCTACCTCTGCCTTAGACATTCTGTCACTTTGTGCTCAACTCCTTATCATTACCTGACAGGTTGGGTATTTTTTTTGGGGGGGGAGAGGGAAGGAGGGGGGGAGTGGAGGTGGGTTTTTTGGTTGTTGTTTTGTTGTTTCTTTTTTATTTTTTTTAATTTTACAAGGTGGGTATGTACTTTAAAGGTTGAGCAAGCTAGGTCTGAAAGAACACCCTTGTGTTTTAAGCCATAGTTTCAAAGGCTGAGATTCAGAAATGCAATTAAGTTCTCCATTTCAGTGCTTTTTATTTCACAAATACCTGGCTGCCAGCTGGGACAAGATGCACTGAAATGCCACAGGAGGAAGGCCTTATGGAACTGAGGGACACAAGATGGACAATTGCTACCTGTTTCAGAAAGAATTCTAGCTTTAAAGACACTTCCTACACATTGGTCGATCTAAGATGTTTATCTAAAACATTCTGGATCCTTCAATTAAAGCAAGAGCTGTATGATGATTTGCCAACTTAAGCACGTAAAGTCTTCTACCTTTAGGAGGCATTAGGAAACACAGAGACAGGCTTATGTCATTAATTGTGCAGTTCTATTCCAGGTTAAAAACCAAAGATTTTCAGCAGATACAATAGATCTTCAATCCAGAACACAGAAGTATTAAAGTGAAAACATAATACTTGTCATTTTTACTTATGTAGTTCCACCCTTGCTCCAAAGCTTTACTAAAAAAAAAATAATCTAGATATTATCAAAAATAAAATAAACAAACAAACAAGCACATTGACTTCTGTTGAAAAAAGATCAGAAAAAGTAAAAAGGTAGTTGTCATTCTCACTTAAGTTTCACAGAACTTGTAACAACAAAGTCTAGGAATAAGATAATAACTTCTACTGACTAGTAAAGTCAGTTTGCCAGAGAACTCTTGGACACAGCTGAGGCAACACAACTGCTCCTAGGCTGATCGGCATAGCTACACAGGCGAGAAAGGCAAAGCATTTGCTGGAGTACATGTGTTTGATGAAGCCTCGAAAGCACTGTATCCTCTGGGACCAATTCCTTCTCCAGCTCAAAGTTATCTGATCTATTTGCTTCATTTGCTAAAAAAGCCAAGTAATGTTTATGTACTGGTGTCCTGGAAGCAAACTGCATTTTCCTCAATATTCTTTATCTCTCTACACAGCACATTTAAAAGCACAATGACAGATAGCAAACCTCTTGATAACATTTTTCTGGACAGTTTATCACTGGATTTTTCCTTTTCCGTTTCATCTTTTGCAGGCTTTTCTTCTTTTTCAAAAGACCGTGACAACTGGATCTGAATTTTCTCCTGTCAAAAGTAAAAATCAGTCATCATGGAAACTATTTCAAACAATACCCGCAGAAGAACTGGTTTGTACTATATTAACTGCAAAATAAAGAAGTAACAAGGAAAATAATTGCTTTCATATTCTTTCTGATCCCACATGTAGTTTATGCGACCACAAAATGAAATTACTCATCAGCAAATCAAAAACTGTAGAGAAGACATAACAAATACCAGAGACATTTTAGAATTTACACATTTTCAGACCGTGAATGATGTATCAAAATGAATCCGAAGTATCTTATTTGATACACATATGAAAATATTCCAGTTTTGCAGATTTATAGATTTTATAGTTTCTAAATTTTTAAGTAATGCATCATCCACGATGCTTCCGCCCCACCCCACATTCTTCACAGTTCTCCACTATAAAAGCTTGTGTCAAATTTCAATTTGGTTATACCAAGAGGCAAAAAAATAAAACAAATGTTTCAGTCTAAGACGGACTTGCATTCCCAGATCCACAAAAGAGGGAGATATTTACAGTACAATAGAACAAGGCAATATTTGCAAACCTTACTGTCATCAAGGCTTAGACTCTTAATTTCCTCTGTATTTTGATAGAGTAGCTTTGTGTGTAATCATCTCAAAATCCATGTTTTTATAAAAAGTAGGTGAACTATCATAAAACCTGTTTCCCAAATACAGCAAAAAAAATACCGTCCCTTTGGAATCATAGTGACATAATGGTCCCCTAAACGGTGGAAGACGGTAATTGTTTTTCATGCCTCTTTACTCTCTAACAAGATTGTGGGTGAAGGATTAACATATTTCAGACAGCAAACACAGAGGATGCGGGGGAAACGGAGACACCATGTGTCTAAATGCCATTCCTTCTCTTGCAGTCAAAGTCCTGTAAGAGTGAGACTCCCCCACTACCTTTTATCTTGAACTCCCTCACATGTCAATTTTGCTCCCTCAGATGCCAACTGAGTTGATGCTGTCACCCCCGGCCCAGAACATCTGATCCTTCCCGGCCCAAGGAACCTGTCCCTCATCCATTGTTGCCTATCACTCTTCTGTCCTGCACCTAAATCCTTTCCCATCCAAGTCTTCATTCTTCCTTCCAACCCATTCTTACCCATATCCAGGGACCTGCTCTAAGCTCCTCCTGGTGTGTCATTCCACAGACTTGATCTTACTCATGTAAGCTGGCCAGAGTTAAATATAGTCAGGATTCACCAAGGCTAAAGACGGTTTCATACGCAAACACATCCTGCAGTAATGCTCCTCCCAGCCCTAGTGCGCCAAACTGCTCTCTCTCCTTTGGTCCCTTCAGGGCTGGTCAATGGGACCCCTATACTGATGAGGTTATGGTTAAAAACTAGTTTCAATATGCATTTTTGGAGTAACAACTTTTTCAAACAAGGAAAAAAAAAAAGCTCATAGTTTTATCAGCGCTCTCTTCCATTAGGTTTTTTCCCCCCACATTAAATGTTCTAATTAAACTTATTAATTAATACACACCCTGCAAAACAGCATTAAAAGTGTGAAGACTTCACAGCTTTTATGAGATTATCTATACCCAAGTCTGATAAAAGCCATTACCAATCACTAATAATGAACTCTTTTGTATAATTCTTTCCTAGTCTTGAGAATTCACTTGGCTACAAACCTTAAAGAACCCAAAACAAATCTTTGCATTGCTCATCTCATAAACCTGAATATAATTCAAATGAGCAATTTATTTGTCACTACAAAGCGCATTAAATCTACTGTTCACCTAGTAGCTGCGTGACAGTTATTTGAAAAAGAAACAAACATGTTTATGTCTTACTAAGAAATTATTTCTGACTTGGGTCCACTAATATGTTATTCTCCATTTTACAATAATACTCTACAAACTATCACTAAATTAAGGAAATTTTCATAGTCTGGTTTTCCTTCACTAGCAAATTGATTGACTACACACTCCAAACTCAAAGTAAAAGCATACAGCAATAATTTAGTCAAAGGATTGCACCAAGTAATCATTTTCATACTTTTTCCCCAACGAGAGCTAAAAAAGGAACAGCCATCTGAACAGCCAGTTCTTCTACTACCACCAATTTACTTCAAAGTGTGATACAACAGAACTGTGTACCAAAGGGCACTTTCTTATGATTTCATGCTATAAAAACTGTAGCATCTAATTAAATATGACCTACTTGACTGGAAAGCTGCCGAAAAATCTTTGAACTTCTATTCCCTAACATTCTTTTAATCGCACCCTGTTTGCAGTGGGTGTCAGCTGGCACGCTGATTTACCAGACTCCTCGCTGTAACTCGGACCACCTAGCCGAAGGCCTCATTGCAGCAGAAGAAACCGTCACCAAATCCTGATTAAACAAGAAACAGCCAAACAAAAAGCAAAATCCCCCAAACCATCAAACCCTAATAAATTCCTCCAGCTTAGAACACTTGAAGAAAAGGTAAGAGTCAGGAAACGTTACAGAATATTACTCAAAGGCCCTACATCCTGCGGTCTTGGCTTTTTACCAGCAATCTCCAAAACCAACAACAATCTGACATTACACAAGTCAGTATAAACTAACATTACAGACTCTGGTCTTTTCCTGCCACCTTTGGGCTTTTTGATTTTGCTAAAGAAGAAAAAGTTCAATCTTTTGAAGTTTTATATACTTGTTACCCATAATAATAACTGTCATTTGTATGAAAACAGCCCTTCCTTAAAAAGAGCTGAAATAGATCATCCTTTGCTAGTGTTCATACTTCTTACTAGAGCATCCAGAATCAGAACCCCAGCACCTAATGTTTAGGCAAAGGACAGGAAGAGAATAAAGAGTCAGTGTACAAAGATAAAAGATCAAATAAATCAGTTATGTTCTTCCTCCTGCAATAAATTGATAAGCTTGTACTTTTAATAGCACCTTTTAGTGAAGGGTTGACAGTGCTTTTTAACAAGGCTTAAAAAAATTGTGAGCTCTTACCTAGCTTTCTCAGTAAGGAACAGTGTCTTTTTTCATGTTGCAATTGCTCAAGAATATATAAACAAGTATATCAGAAAATAAATTGATCTGCTTGAGAATTTGTCCGATCTGTCGACTCTTTCACTATAGCCTGCTGAGGAGAAGCAGCCACCAGCGGCAGCCAGCAGCTGACTGGTGCTTACAGAAGAACTCTTCCATGCCATTCCCAAAGATTCTCTGGGAAAGCAAGCAAAATGGGTGAAGAAATTGCCTGTGTGATTTGTTACAGAGGGTCATGGAAGACCTGTGCCCCATAGGGTGTACACTCCAGCATCAGAACTTGTTACAAATTACTATTTCTAACTCTTCTCTTCAACATGCATTTCTCCAGTCTACAGGGAAGAATTAAATTTGTTCTTTCAATCATTTGCATAGTTATTGGGATTCATAAGCTATTTTTTCTAGATTACTGTTTCTGAAGAAAACTTGCAGCTAGATGTAATTTTGTTTCTTAATATACAATCTGGTTTATGGTATTCCTGTCGTACAAACTTAGATTATCACATGATTAAATTCATTCTGCAGAACTGGCCTTTACATCTCTTCTACTACTGCAACAATCCCTTTCAAGAACCACCTTGCGGTACGCAGCTAAGGATAGATTCCCAGAGGATACAGTAACAAATCCCATCTGTAGAGAACGCTTATTATAAACGTCTGATTTCAAACCATTAAATACATGGTGTTGTATAGTGACGGAGGTTTTTAAAATCCTAATGTCTTATGTTTGAAATATACTGTGGATGAACAATCCATCAAATTAGGATTATCTCTTCCTGTAATTAGATACAGTGACTGAAAAAGTTAAACCCTACTGCTTCAGACTAAACAACTAAGCCTGAACTAGATCTCACAGTCAATTTTGTTAATCTTATGCGAAACATTACAACAGCCTTGTAAATAGCATTAACTTTTCTGTTGTCTTTTAATCTCTTGCTCTGCAGCCTATACCAATCCAAGACTGATTTTCATCAAATTAGCGGGCCCAGTTTCTCAGGTCAGCTCTTTCAAATACTGTTATATTAGTGAAGGACTATGAAAAATACTATTTTCTCAGTTTTCCCAAGGAAAAAAAACCAAACCACAACTAGATACTTCGTGGTTCAATCTTACAAAATTTTAATTAGCTTGACAAATGCCTACATGAGTTCTCAACCTGCCTCCCTCCCCAAAACTGAATTACCGCTTCCCCAGCAAAACCCCCTCCCACCCTGCTATTTCTGCTGGTTCCTTCCCCTTAAGGAAAGTGAGACTTTTCTGAAAAAGACATTTTGGAAGCTTTTCAAATAACAGCAAAATAAGTCACCATGCTTTATGAGTAAACCACTAAGGATCATTTCAGTTTTCTTAGTAGTGAAAAAAGAGCAGCAAGAAAAGCATTTTGATGCCCCTCATTCATCCAGAGAACTAAAACCATGATAGTATTTTGCTCTAAAAATACAGACTAGTATGAAAGTAAAGTCAGGCAAGCTCGATTTTGTTTTAAATTCTCTAAAGTGCTTTTATGTATTTTGTCCAGCATTTGGGACCTTCTTTAAGTGTTACAGCATCTTAATAGATTAGTCTTCAGACATACCTCAGGCATGTGTTAATAGAATTATCAGCAATTATGACTAATATGCAGGAATTCAGTTAAAATACCAGAACTTACAACTGTTTAACTTTTCTAAATGTAAAAGACAATAAACTATGCTGCACATTAATCACCAGTTTTCTGGATGCGATGGCAGACAACACTTAAGCAGTTTAAGACCGCCTCAAGTGCACTGTAACACTAGAAAGTTAAACCAACTAACACCACCCCTCTTCCTGTTCCCCAGATACCAACCACCATAGTTCAGAAAAACAAAGCAGCAAATTCTTCATTCTATATTACCACATCTATTAAAACTGCATTTAAAAAAAAAATAAAATCATACGCTGTCTGCATATTTAAAGAGTACCCAAAAGATTTTCTTCTGAACAATAAGTTACTTCAAATTATTTCAGAAACTTCAGTAACGTGATGTTTACCTGGAGGTCCTGTGATATTTCAGCTGTGGGAGGTGGTGGATATTCTTCACATACAGCAAGGCTCCGAACTAACTTTAACTTTGTGTTTGACTAAAGGAAAGTATGTAAAATTAAAAACTATGGCTTATAAAGACTAATATAAATATACCATAAGCCGTTCTTTTTCCATTCATTTTATGTAAAACAAAATGGCTGAAAACTGCATTTTTTTAATATTTTCAATAGAATAAATGATTTTCTTTAGGAAGAAAATATCCAAGCAATTGCAGCTTTTGAAGCACAATAGAGCACATCTAATGAAAAAGAAATAAAATCTTTGGGAAAGTGTTTCTCTCTATAACAATAAAAAGCCACCAAAAATATAAAGGCAAACCACAAAAGCAGACAACTAGGCAAGACAGAAATCCAACAGAATAAAACAAAGCTTCAATGCCAAAAAAATGAAACTAAAGATACTTTTCACAAAGTAACAAAGCTTCACCAAGCATGAAGGGCTTCCTTAGCATGCCAGCACACAAGTCTACTGTACCTTCGACCTTTTTGCTGTCTGTCCAAAAGACTGCACTGGCCGCTGAATGATAGGCACAACAGAAAAGGTTTATATTAAACTTAATAGCACAATTTTATTAATGCGAAAAGTCTGTAGAAGAGAAAGCTTTAACAGTTATTACTGACATGATGGTCAAAATCTGTGAAAGGAACAGCAGGTGCTTTTGGCTGAAGGATTATATGCTCTCCCATTTTTCACTGTGCTTGTCCTTGATTTCTCTTCTTCATTTATCAACAACAGACATTACAGGAATGTAACAGGAAGCAAGTATTATTCTTGTTCATTAAGATCCAAGCAGTTTACTCTCTCAGCCAGCTCCTACACTTTAAATTCTCGTGTCCTAATTTCCCTGCCAACATGACATGCTTTTTATAAATTTTCTTCCTATTCCTGAAACCTACCTGGAAAAAGAATATAAAAGAAAAGGAAAAAAAAAAAAAAAAAAGCTTTACCACTACCAGGGGAACAGATGATGACCTAGCATAAGCTGGTTAAAACATAGGGGTTTTTTTCTTTCATCTTAGGAGCTACAAAAGTGGATTTTAAAATGGGCTACAGGTCAATTTTTTTTCTTTAATTTAGTAACTTACTATGCATTAATATGTTCTTTCTCCTCCCAGATCCCTTCTACTGCTATTGTTTCTCTTAAAAAAAAAAAAAGCATTACAAGAGTTTTGCTACAGCATGCATGATTGAAAGGTACATTTGAATCAACAGAAGTGTTTAACAGTTAAAACTAACTCAACCCTCTGCGACAGTTACACAGGAATACGTTATGCCACTGTAAGTGCTTCTAATTTAAGTACTGGTTTCAGTGTAGAACTAAAACTGATGAACAGACAAGCCTTTAACAGAAGTGGTTTTACAGACCTAATATTTGTAAGGAAAAAGCAACATTGGTAATATAATTTCAAATGTTGTTTAAGGGACAATACTTCCTCCTTTATGAAAGTGGTATCCTTTCAGGAGGAAACTCAATAAAATCTCCATTTGAATCCTACATGAAGACAGCCCTCCCTGCCTGAGGCTCATAGGAGCAGAGGTCTATCAAGTGCCTTATTTTCTTAGCAGGACATAAGAACAACACCTAGCCTGAAGTAAAAGATTCTAACATGTAAGGCAGAAGAACTGATATTTCTCTCATTTTCCTCAAGTCCCAAATGTCTACTTTGGATGTTGCACCAGCTTAGCTGAAGAGCAGCAGAAGGGGAGCTCATTTAAGCTCATTTCCCTATATAACAGGATTTTAAATAGCAGCACTGAAAACTAACTGAAGTCATCATCAGTTTTTTTAAAGGAAGCCTGGAGAGATTTTGAGCAGCAAAGACAGTTCAAATGTTCTCACACCTGGAACAATACAGACCCTTTGAGTTTTGCTGATACCTGAAAAATTATTTTTTTTTTCTTTCAATCAGCTACGCTGCAAGCATACATTGCATATTGAAAACTTTGCCAGGGATATGCAGAGTGCCAGTTTCTGTTATACCAAAGCTACTAAACTTTCAAGAACTGGATGATTTCCCAGCCTCATAGCAATTACTCCAGGATCAGTTCTCTCAGGTGGGTTCAAATCAAGTACTGTAAACTTAAAATCAAATCAGCACTGCCAATGGAGTACTGAGTTCACTGTCAAAACAAGAGGCAGAAGAACCTACGCTTGGGTAATTGTTTACCTTTTGCAAAATTTTGGAAGCTTTGAAGACAGTATATAACTGAAAAGAGTATATGGAAGCAAATACCCCATATCCACCTTTTGGGGGGTGGGAAGAAGGAAGGGGAAATCTACTTAGTTATGCAGGACATAAAACATTTGAAATTAGCCAAACAGAACTTCTAATACTGTTAACCAAAACTTTACACATAAGTTACTGCTCACTAATTAGATAAGACATACATATTTAAAAAAAGAGAGGAGATTGTTGCTGGGAAGCAGGAAGCATACAATAATTAAATTTAATTAAGATCTGTACAAAGCACGTATCTCCTCTTCACCTTAGCTCAGTAAAATCTCAGGAATCCATTGCAGCCAAAACTTAAGTATGTTTGTTCATGCCAGATAAAGTGAAGCAAATGCCTCAAAATTTAATCGAGATATTGAAATTGCTCTAGTATAAAATCTGAATTATTCATAAGAATGTTTAAAATGAATGTGGTTTTCAGATTTCAGTCACAATAGGACAAGTTTGACAGTGCATTCGTTTAAGTGTTTTACATGTGTTGTATCTCCTCTTCCATTTTGCTTGCAGAATTAGAATTCTGTTTCCAGGCTGGAAAGCCAACCCAACTGTCAATTATGCTGTATTTAAAGATTTGTTTAAAAAAAAAAAAAAAGTGTTTGCAACCTATGGGGAATAACTTAATCAAAGCAATATAGGATATTCAGCATAGTAAACTAAGTTATTTGAATACCATGGTTCTCAATTTCATGAGCATTTGACAAATTTTGTGGACCAACACCCATACCAGTGGGGAGAGCTGGGGGGCCACTGTAGGAGGGGGATACTCCCTTGACTGAAATGACTCAAACCTCAAAGTTCTACGAGATAAGTATCATCCCACCTACCATATTAAGACTTGTTATCCAGAAACCACTGCCTTGTAAAATAATCCTTTGATAGGCGTGGATTCCTTGCTCCCCTGCATGACTTTAGGGATGTCAAAACCTGAATACAAGCCCCCACATCCAGCTATAACTGTGAGGACTATGCACCACACACTTGACAGGTAAGAAGCACTGGAATAAATATGGTTCGGCTGGACTGCAAGGACAGCTAATGTGAGCAAAGGCCTATGATGTAAGGTCTGTGCCTGGAAATACAAACCCCGAAGTCCTGCGATACCAACAGTAACTGCATTCACAAAACTTGAAGATGATTTGGAACAGTTCCTTTCTCAGGCAAAACCATGCCAACTGAGGATAACTACATTTTCACTGGAATTCCAGGACAATAGGTAGTCAATGTATGTTATAGTTGTTAATGCATATTCTCTCTCTTTTCAGGTCAGTGCATTTTAGTTCTGTCCTAATTTCTCTGCATTTATTAAGTTTTGTTCCTACAGAACATCTTTATGTTCCCCATTTGTGAAAAACAATTTATAGCTACTTTAGAATATGTAATCCTTAGCGAGTGTAAATTAAGCAATTTCTTTATTTGCAGCTCTCAGGCTTTTACTGACTTGAGAAAACACTATGTTAATGAAAGCAAGATTAAAAATAAATTTATGCCCCCTTTAAAGTCATTATGGGCATGATTTCAAGATAGTGTTTAAAAGGAAGTATCCTAAACAATGGCATAATGAAAATAATTATTAGGTTTTTGTCTGAAAACAAAAAAAAAAAATTAAGATGAACAACATTTTAAGACCAACTACAAAATAAAGAGGGAATTAAGATAGAGTTTACCAAACACATACAATCATACATATCCAGGTTTTCAGAAGGAGTATCTGCCTGTTTTATTTTCTCCTAATTACCTCCACAGATCAAGTATATCAAATACAAAGTAAAGATCTGGAGCTGTTATACACCTTCCTCTATCATCACTATGCTGTCTAAACAAGTTGGATAACAACAGGTCAGGCACAAGATGGCAAACTTAGAAGTGGGAAAGGTTTTGTGAGAAAGTACTATATATATTTCTGAAGTAGCGTTTGAACATTTCAGAGGACAGGCATGACATGACAGGCCTCAAAGAGCATTCTAAGGACATTCAGTTTTTCACCTTCCTTCTAAATTAGGTCTCAATTTTAAATCCAGTTAAGGGGTACAGTTCTAACAACCACAGATAGCTTTGTAATACTGAAGGAAAGAACAGCGTGGTCTATGGTTACTTGCTGTCCTGTATTAGTGAGTAGTGACAGCAATTTTCCATGACACAGTAGAGGATGACTGATGGAAAAATAGTTTCACCATTGGGCACAGAGGCATTTTCAACAGTTCAAAAGTAACTAAACAGGATCTGCTTGATTATTTATTTATTAAAAAGTATTAAGTCACATATTTTGGAGACAAGGTAAATCCTGACAAAACCAAAACAGCTGGGGAAGAGGCAAAGAAAGGCTTCAGATAACTCAAGCTGTAAAACAGACAGAGAAAACAAAGGTTTGTGCTAGTATGGAGGGAAGAAACTTGTAGACAGAGATGTCTAATTGCTAAGTAAAAAAATTAATCTAACTCCTCCAAAGGATGGGGATATCTGCTTAATTAGCATAAACCCAAAACAGAATTATACTCACTTAATACAACATTTGCCTTGTCCGTATCATACGGTGGATGCATACAACTCCTGCATTCGTGCAGCAGTCTCCATCCTTCTATGAGGCTTTTTTTTGTTGGTGGTATTTTGGTTTTACTCTGCACAGCTTGGAAAGTGCGTGTCCTGATATGTAGTGATATGCAGCTTTCTTTCTCTCAGTCTTTTACTGCCTTGGCAATCATAATCCCATCAAGGACCTCGTATCTACTTATTAATGGTTATTTTTCAGTGCAGAGGTGACAGTATTTAAGACTAACATTCTTCTTCCCCCCAATTCCCCTAATGCATGGATTGTAGTATAAGAACAAACCTCCTTTTCTGGATTATACATAAGCCAACGTGAATTGTTATGGAGATTTTAAATATTTTTTTTTTAAATAGTCTTCGTAATAGTGAATAAAAGATACTATGCTGTAAGATAAATGCAGGTTGTTTATTTATTTTTTTGTCAATATTTCCTGACGAATTAACTTTAACAGCAGTCATTATAGTGGATGAAGCATTGCCTGTCCCACTACCCAGTGACAAAGGCAACAAATTCAGGCACTGTATTCTAGCTAATTCAGAATTAGTATGCTGTCTCCCACCTGTCGATCTTATCCAGGTCAGGTGGCAACAGTGGCTGATGAACCAAAACCTTTCCGATCACAAAAACTACCCTAGTGCTGACAGGCACGTGACTTTTGTAAAAGTACTTTTCATATGAATGCCTCTTATTTCCAGTCCTATTTAAGTGTTACTTGATGGTCACTTCAAAATATGACAATTCAAAGATCTTCCCTAATAATCTCTATATCAATTATACTACTTGTGTGCTGCTTAAAGAAATGGGGAGTGCTAGCCATGTATTCAAATAAGATATTTTTCTCATTCACAGTGTACCTCCAACAGTGTATGCAGCAGCAACTAGGTTACTAATGCACAGCGTCTCAAAATAATCTGGAATTCAGAGCCACAGTTACATTTCAAAATATAATCGCCAGTTTCTGGAACTGTGAAGATCCAGAAACTTACCTGAACTCAAACCATGACAGGTTTAGACAGAGGAAGGGTCATAACCTGTTTCTTGCTTGGCTGTAAAGTCAGAAATCAAGTGATAACTATATTCAGGTATATCACTGTAGTTTGCCATTAGCAATTAGCTACTAGCTAGGAAAGCCAAACCCAAACTCCTTATATTTACCCCCTCCCCCACAACCCATCTGATATACTCAATTAGTAAACAAAAGAACCACAACAAATTCCAATAAGCTTCTGATAATCTTGTCTAATGTTTCTTAGCAATTCCTTTGCTCTTTTCCCCACCACTACAGTAACATTTAACCTGCACTCAATGTAAAGTAGTACATCCAGTGTAGTTTCACTAGTCAAACTATTTAATCATCCATGAGTTAAAAACTTGCTGACTACTGTACTATTCCCAGAAGTTTTGTTTAGTATGGACAGGCCAAAACTTTTGTTTTGTAGTTTAGTGTAAGACATGCTTTCAATGAAAAAGCCTCAAATATATGACATATGTATTTGCACTAGCAGCTACCACAGTACAAGTGACATTAACTTTTTCTGACTTCAATTGGTACAAAGGGCTTACATAAGCAAGGTTTCACTTTGTAACTGACAGTTTCCTACCATTCTGGAAATCCACATCCTCAGCCTACAAACTCAGTTTTAAATTACACTACTCATGTAAGAGCAGTGTTCTGATTCTGATGGAGACTCCTGGACACAACCCTCACATCAACACTAAACAGAGACAACAGTAAGGCTGTCTCCATCAAACAGCCTCCACTACACGGTTGTTCAGTTCATCGTGTGTACATTAGATAATTATTTCAGCCACCAGCAATTCCTCCTGGACAAGAATAAAACCAAGCAACCAACCCCCTCACCAAACCCCACAGCCATTGACAGCACCGACAGATTCGTTTCTCTAGACTGGGCCTGACTATACAGCTACACTCGTTCGCAGGAAGGCAGATTTGCCACTTGAGTCGCATAGAAGCGTCCACACTAAAATTTGTTGAATGAGAAAATGCAAATGAGATTTTCTTCCAAGTTACTGAACTGTATGAAAATAAATAAACCTTAAATTAATTTTTAAGGCTCACTACTGGGACATTCCATTGATTAAAGAAAATAGCAGCTCAGCTATAACATCTACCAGCTTTTCAGCAGCAGTTATTTCTCATATGTTACAGGAGAAGTATTTCATTTTAAGGATTTATTTTTTTCCATAAAATTATCACCGATGTCAGCCTTAATAAAGCCAGCAGATATTAAAGTATAAAACCGTATTGTTATTACAGTGGTCTACAAGATTTCTTTGGAAGCAATTTAACATAGCAGATAGAGCTTACTTCACTCAGTGGAATACTGAATTGTTAGTCTTGAACAAAACTTCTCCCAAAAGAACCTTTTACTCAATTCTCAATAACAAGAATCTAATAAGCTACTGTCCTGTTTTTGCAACCCACAAGAGAATACTGCCATATCCCATACTCCAATTAGGATTTTTAACCAAAAATTGTTTATTATTAACCCACAGACAAAAAAAAAATCCTATAGAAAACAAGTTTTTGTCAAACACAAGCTTCTGTGTTTTCTCTCAGAAATTTACCCCATTTTCTAGGTTGTGCCAGAAAATTTCAGTTGCTTTCTTTAACTCCTCACCTCATCTAAGACACCTACAGTCTTCAATGACCAAGCGGGCAGCTTCAGCCCAGAGTTAGCTGGTTTGCCCCACATGAGAGACCCATCTCTCGGGGCTCTTGAACATAAACGCTAACTGCACAACTAAACCTCAGTGGTATTAAATCTGCTGCTCTAAGTTCTTAACCCATCCTTATTGGTGTGTTCTTCTTTAATACAAGATATTTCCACACTATTTCCCCTCTCTCTTTCTCTCTTCAAATTTCATGCCACAATTTCTTCACAGGTATATCTCCCACCTTGCAAAGGCCATACATTTATATGCATCAGCTCTTCAGGGTGTGCATGAGGACTGCCTAAGCTTTCCTACCTAATAAATCATGTACCAAAATTGTCAAATGGTGAAGAAAGGAAGAAAAGGGAAGGTGTGGGGAGCACTGGCTAACAGCCAGGATGGGATGATAGTTTACCAGCTCGCTATACCTTTGATGTAGGCAGAAAGAGGCTGGACCTTCTGCTGGTGGCTAGGGCAGGACCCAGACCTACTGGCCTCAGGGGCTCTGCTGATTTGATTCCTCTGGCACCTGGGGATTTGGATTACCTACATCCGATTACTTTAGCCTTATACTGTACAGCTCTGCTGTAAAAGTTACACCTGAGCCACCTGTAAGCTGCACATGGCTCAAGAGCCCTAGTTTGGTCACCTCTGCTCAGGGCAGACATGCTGAGCTGTGCTGTAGTGCTTTCTTCGTACAAGCAACGCTCAACATTTTAGCATTTTGATCTAACCACGCTATTACTACACAGCGTATTCTTAACACGGCCCAGTCTCTGAAATTCAGTCAGGACCCAACAACAGCAAAAGACAGCTTGAGTGCTGAATTTTTTCCTTGTTCTGCTACAATGAAAAAAATCTCAGCTTCACATGTGCACTCAGGAAAACACAAAACGCAGACAAATTATCTGGTTCCCATGAAAACCACTCATCTACTTCATACAATTAAAAAATGGCTGTCATATTTACATGAATATTAACAGAGAAGTGGGGCAAAGGAGGAGAGAGGAAGCAATAACCATCCTACTTGCCCGGTGTTCTGGAAGCAAGTTTTCCTGACTTGTACCAAAGAAACATGTAAGAGGATCATGAGAAAGGGAGAAGAACAAGACACAGACTTATTTAACATGATATACTAGTGAAAAATAAAACGAAAAAATTCTTACCGGCATATTGTTTTTGCTATCAGGACAATTTTCATCCTTTTCCGCCTGAATCTGCTCCTGACTTCCTGATTTTATAAGGTTTTCAACTGGGTCTGTATCTTTAAATTCAGCTTCTGAACCCTTCATTGCATCAGTTTCATCTTTTACAGTAAGAATATCAGACATCCTCATTAGAAAAGGTTATTTTAAAATTCTATAAGAAATACGGAACCTTTAAGACAAAGAAAAAATGGATCACTGAGTAATTTTAAATAATTACAAAACCCTACATACCTAAACAGCTGCCCAAAATAAACATGATTTTGCTGCAAAAAGTATTCCCCCTCCTGCTATGATTTTTTCCCTGTCTTGTATCAGAGGGACAGTGTGATCATTTTCTTTTTAACCACTTTTATCAAGAGGTTTATAATAACAGACATCTATACAAACAAGAACTAAGAGCTACGCTACAGGATAAGGCTTGCAGATTTTCCCTTCTGTATTTTAAAGTAAACGCTTGTGTGTTCAGATACTCCAAATCAAACTAGCTTCCAACAGAAACAAGGGAAGCTTTTCTCATTTGAAAGGAAAGAGAATTACATATAGATTTATTTTAAAAGGGTTGAAAGTAAATAGATGAAACATAATGCAACCAATGTGCAAACATTCATAAATATCATTAAAACTTTTAAGTTTCCAAGTTGCCAGGTAACAACTGGACAAGCTCTGAATGCAGGAACTATCCTACCTTCTAAATGTAGCAAAACTAGTCTTAATAAAATTAAGCACTGTCTCAAAAGCAATAAAAAAGACAGAAAGAGACAGCTTTGTTAATTAGGGTAATAACAACAATTATCAGTAATTATAATTTATAGTAATAATAATTCATAATAATAATTTTAAATACTATATTAAGATAACTCTAATGATTAAAGCTATAATAGAACCACCCCAATTTTCCCTAAGAAAGAAAATGTCTTGTCATTAATCAGCTACAGTGCAGGATGTAAAATAAAAATTTTTTCCATTTCTTAAAAGAAACAAAGAATAAGTTCTGAATGCCTTAAGTCCTTCACAGAAAACAAATAACAATCAAATAACATTACAGAAAAGTCTAAGTAAGTATCTGATTTAGTACCTGATATGTCCTACAGTTTGGGGATTGTGGTCTCCCACAAAAATAAAATAAAATAATCCAAAGTTCCTTTTCACAGTTGTCAACCAAGATGTCAGTTGTAATGAACCATCTGGAATCTGGCAGGAGGACTCCCATGTCCTTATCCCCAGTGTAGAGTCCTGGACAGAACTATGTTGTCTTGAATCAGCAAGAACATCCCTTTTGAATGCCTAAAAAAAGAAAAAAAAAGAAATCAACAAAGGAAATACATGATACTTTTACTTGAAGTGGGAGGAGAGGAGCAACATGATGACACCCAAAACCTTAAATAGTCATTTCAAGAAAAAATGCACAGAAGAAATCAGCATTTGTCATATCTATTCATTCTATTGGCTTTATCTAGCAGTAATAACATTTTTCATTAGACTTCCAAGACTCTTCTGTATTACAGAGTTAACAAGTAGTCATAATAAAAATTTTGTTGGCATTCCTAGTGAAATTCTGTTTCTATAAACAAGCAGTTATCTTCCAGAAGAGTCTGAAAACACAGTTTGAAATAAGCAGCCCAGCAGGTGTGGAGGAGTAATAGGCCATGAAAGCTCACAAATCCCTGTTAGCATATCAGCATTTTTCTCTCTGTCATAGTTAATAATCTACAAGCACAATACATAATCCATATTTTAGGCAACCTGAATTACAGAAGACAATTTTCAAAGTTAATTGCCCTTGAATGAAGATTTATAGATTTCTACAAAACTGACAATGTTCCATCTTCCCTCTTTTTCAGATTTGCTTTTCTGAGAAATAAATAATAACCTCACCCACAAGGACACATGCATTTGAAGTGGAAGGCAACAACAGGTATCTAATAGCAAACAAGACGTGACCTATAAACAGAGCAAAAATATCCTAAAGCAAAGAACACAACTAACTTTTTGAAACCTGTGAAAGGTACACTGGAATAAAATAGCTGAAAAGGATCTCTGTAGTGCCTTGCCCAAACACTTTTGTCATGACTAGTTAGGGTCTTATTAAAAACAGTACATGTGATAATAAGCACCGAGAACACCTTCTGTCACCTCAGTTCAACAACACGATAATCAGAATTGTTTCAGGAAAACAAACGTGAAAAACATCAGAACGGTCTGAAGTGAAATTAAGAAACAAATGAGACATTTATTCCATGGTTATAAACGCAGTTTTAATTGGTGTAGGCAAAGAACCTGCACTAAACTGTTCATTTCCAAAAATGAAGAGTTGCACTACATGCAGGAAGAAAGGATCGAAGGACAAGTCGTGTGACTTGTCTCCAACAAGCTGCATTTTAGCTGAAAGAATCTGAAAGCATTTAAGCATTCTTCAATTTGAGGTCACTAGAAAGCAATTAATATCCAAATTACATGGTCAGGCTGTGACAACGCCCAGCCTTTTATCAGTTTCAACAATCCGATATAATAATTCAACAAGGAGTTTAATATAAAATAACATAACAGAAAACTAGCTAAATTTAACACTGACTTTACATGAGAGAAAAGCCATATCCTCTTTCAAGAGAAACCTCCAGAACTGAAGGAGGGAAGCAGGATTTACAATGAAACAAAAGAAAGCAAGTACTTTATATTCTCTACATTCCACAACAGTATCACCAGCTTGTATTCAAATTGCTTTGTATACAAATAAAGACACCGCAATTTCTTGATCCCATCCTGGAAAACAACTGTAAAAACAGCAGAAAGAAACACTTCAGAAGATACATGCACAAGAGGAATGAAGAATAATGTATTTCTCCCCAAATAAACCCTGCAAAAGAGACCTGGGTAAGAAGAATTTTCAATTATGATTTAAACAGTGTGTAGCATCCAACACCTCTCCCCAAAGTGCTAAGTTAAGCAGTTACAACTCTGAGAACACCTCCTTGTGCTGAACTGCTCCCTCAGTACAACTGAGAGAAGACGGCAATGGCATGGAAGAGCAGCATCACAGCCCACAGACTTCCAGGTTTCCTTGCAGGTGAAATTAAAGCCTGGCTACAGTTACTTTTTTAGATCTGAAGAAACATACAGTTTGGTAAGAGATATGAGATACTATAGACGTTTTGACTTCATAAATCTTACTGCAAAGAAGTATGGAAAAGAAAGATAGAAGATGGGCTGTGATTCGGGCCTGTAAGAGACCCTATTCACCGAATCTAATGGAGAGGAAAGGATTACAGATGAAAGAACTAATTGGAAATAAAAAAGTGCAGAAATGCAACAAAGGATATGCAGTGATGTTTCGTTGTTGAGTTCATTTTTATGGACAATCCAGATAGTGATTTAAGACTTACGAAGAAGCTCAGATTAACAGCCTTTACTGTAAACAAGACTTCAATAGAGATGCTGCTTGTTATCGGTGACTGACGTATGATTTGTATTGTACTTAGAGAAATGTTAAAAAAAGATTACAGACAGAAGACAGAAAAAAATCCCGTTTATGTCCAGTTGCAAATATAATCTTGGAAATTAAGTGTAATTTAATTGCTACTCCTACGCAAGTTACAAATGCAGTAACTTTAATCAACATCTTGAAGGTTTTTTTTTTTAATTATATCAAATTCACCAAGAGCTTCTGTTCCTTTGCAACAGCATCTTTAAAAAAATGGCTATCAGCATACCCAGTTAGCAAAACTCATGCTGCAAACATATTTGCTTGCCTATGCCAATCCAGAAAACTGATGAACAAGAAAAAAGTCCTTATATTTTCTACAACAACCTAACTGCAAATCATCTTAGAACTTGCTATGAACAGATTTTTCACCTGCAGATAGATTTAAAGCCTGCAGATTTTGTGCTATATAACCTACAGTAAAAGCGACAGAATTGAGGAAAAGCTGTGTAGTTTAATTCACACAAAATAATATATATATATTTTGGTTTTATAGAACATAGCTATTTTGAGTCAACCAGAACAACTATATGCACACCCATGAGTAAATGACAAACCCTATGCTTCAGATTGACAGCAACACACACATAATAGAAAGATGAATCTTTGCTTACCTGAAAAAACACTTTTTTTTTTCATTAATAACAGCCACAGATTCATTGAAATTGGTAACGCAACCTTGCGTTTTCGACCCACAATAGCGAGTTACTAGTACTTGGATAATGGTCCATCCCGGAAGTTTCCTCTAATTCAGACAATTTTCATAGCTGAGACAATTTGATTCTAGTTTCTAAACTCACACAGATTTGATTGAAAAGGATCTAAGGAATTTTATGTGCTGCAGACAGAGGGGGGACAGATCACAGTCCATGCTTATGAATCCCACCTCTTCCACCCCCCTATATATTTGGATGTTAATTTCTTGTGTCCCATGCAGGACAGGAAAAAAGAGTCACTCTACTGTTTGAAGAGAAAATAAATACTAGTAAGCAAACTGATTAAGTTGATTTACACCAAATCCCAACACCGGCCATAGACTGGATGGCAATATAGACCAGCAGATTTTAATGAGAGGGACATGATACCTCTGTCCTAAAATTATCCGAACAGTTGAAAGGACTGAATATTAGGGGTAGAATATTACCTGGTTTTGCACTTAAAGATTCAAACAGCTAGCAACAAGTCTCATGAAAACAGCTTTCCAATTTTAGTGTCTTTTATAGGTAACAACAATAAGCACCTACTTTAATAGACAGGCAGTACAAGGACTTGTACAAGTACAGAAAAGTGGAGTATGACAAGTCATATTTATCTTCTTTAGCCTTTGGGATTGCTGACCACATCTAAACACTGTTGAAATGTATGCTCCTCCCCTTCTTCATCATATTGGTAGCACTATACCACCACCATTCATCCTAAATTCTATTCTCTGTCTGAATAGTGGTAACCACTTTGTCTAGGCAACTATTCTGAATGTACTCCTTTTCCCATGGAAAATTGTTATTATCAGCTGTGAGATGGAAGTCTAGTACTGTGCTCTCATTGCTTTCTTTTGCACAACCCAGAAAACAAGTGATAAAAAAAGAAGACATTGAGAAGCCATTGCTGAGTTTTATGACAGAAGCCTCCTGAATCATGATACACGGAAAACCATTGGGTCCTTTGTTTCAGGTTCTGACTTGAAAATGATCATATGCAAACCCGCTAAATTGACTTATAATGAGTGAGGATATTTCTGGGAACAGGATCTACTCAACTTAATCCAATTTCTCTAACAGGCATCAAGACTTCCATCTCCTTGTTAGCAATGTAGATGGAGATAGGAAGCTTTGCTCTACCCATGATGGAAGAAATCAATTCTTTTTCTTTTAAGATGAATGTAAAAGACAAGGTGATTTTTTTGTTCTTTGTTAAAGCTATTATGGATATCGTTGCTGTCAAACAGACCCCAGGAACAGCTGTCAAAGTAACTGGTATCAATCAAATTCAGGGCAGGAAATTGGATTAGAATGGCGGAGGTGAAAAAAATCTACATTCAACACAGAAAGCGTACACATTGTCAACGGAAAGGTAAAACGAGCATTTATTTCTTAAACAGGCTTCTGTTCACCAAATATTTCAACAGAATCCTTGTGCAGGTCAAAACAGTATCCCTTGTTGTGGACAATATCCACCTACCTCATTTTTACTATGATTACGAGTGGTTTACCCCCTAACCCAACAGTCAAAAATCAGTCAGTGCTGAATTTCCCAGTAAGGCTTGTTGCAAGTCATTCAGAAATCTCCAGACTGTATGAAGCGCCTTGTCTTAGCTCTCAGCACTTACTCTAGTTACATGTAGTACTTCTCTTCACAAGTTGCTTTTTTATTTGAGCACTAAAGGCTGGAACTTAATTATCCATCTGTACTCTCCCTGAAACCAGACCAAGTTTATGTGAAACAGTACAGAGAATGCCACACTTGCTGTACTGCATATCTATGTTAGAGTTTAAAGAAAATAAAGCAAAAACAATCAATGTATTAAAAATTAAAGCAGGAAGCAGCAGTAGTTGAATCATTGTCTATCCAAGCACTGGAAGGCCAGCAAACACAGGAAAGACAGGTGAGATACAGGACCAAGCAGCAGTTGAGGCGGACAGTGCAGTAAATATGAAGGCGCAGAGACGGGCAGTAAGAAAGTCTAGTATTTGCTGCAGCTTTTTACATACATGTGAAAAGTTTATATAGTTTTGTTTGGAGTTTTTTGTTGTTGTAGGGTTTTGGGTTTTATTGTGGGTTTGGTTT